TGGGATCAGTGGGGTTGACTGAAGCTAGAGCAGTTCCATTATAGAATCATGGAATTATGGAATGGTTTGGGTGGAAGGGACGTCAAAGATTGTCCCCATCCATGGCAGGGACACCTCCCACTGTCCCAGGGTGCCCCAATGTCCAGCCCGGCCTTGGGCACTGCCAGGGATCCAGGGGCAGCCACAGCTGCTCTGGGCACCCTGTGCCAGGGCCTCACCACCCTCCCAGGGAGGAATTCCCTCCTAATATCCCATAAAAACCTCTTGAAGCTTAAAATGCACATTCCTTCCTGGAAAAATGAAGTTTTCAGTGGAATTTTTACAACAAAAAACACCTGGGAGAGCCTGGGGAATCTTGGGTACCTTTGGAAGAAGAATCAGCACCACAGCCGATGAGGTTCCTCCATCCAAAATCCATCGTGGTCTTTAGGAAGACTCTGGCTGGACATAACCAAAATTATTGTTATAAAAACTCCCAACTGAGGGATCTGAGRGAATTTTGGAGTTATCAGCACCGAGAGCCATCCTTTTAAGGGCTCCAAAAGGCAACGGGGAGGGCGTTTTGCTCCATGTTTATCAGGTGAGGGATGATTAATCGGTCTGAGCTCACAATGAATGTGCATCTCCCTTCACATGCTAATCACATGGCATTTATAAATGTCACCACCTTATCGTGGAGGCACACTGGCAATTCTGGGGGCTTTCAAAGAATTTATTCTCAACGTTTTTAATGTGTGCATTATTAAGGTCGTGTCATTGGAAGCGTCCCCTTGGCCGGGGTTGAGGAATAAGGTGAGGTTTTATTTGGATTTTGGAGGTAATTGAATTATTGCATTTTAAATCTAGTATCTAAAAAAAAAAATTCACTGCAGATAATGAAGCTTATCTTGTTTTTCTTTAACTACTAAAACGTAGCAGTGCCTGTCACCTTGGAATTTTAATAACGAAAAAAATAATTTATAATTATTAGACTGAGAAGCTTCGGGGTTTTCCYATTCTGCTTTTTCTTAACTTTGCAACCTAAGGCCTTAATTTAGAGTTATAAATTATAGTTTTACCATTGGAGAATTGCATAATTTTCATTTAAAAAAAAATCTGAATTCCTCAATTTGGTCATAAAAAATGTGCATTATTAACAACTGTTATTAGGAAGTTTGAGCCTTAAGCAAATTTTAAAAAGGTTCAGGGAGAGTTTGGGTACAGAAAGTCCAATGAAAAACATGGAAAGATTCTGGACTGTGTTGCTGCTTAAGCTGAGCTTTTTGAACTCAAGACTCAAGAACCATCTGAGAATAAACTCAAAACTGAAAGGTTTTCCCAGCTATAAGGTTTAGGTCCTTTCCTGTTCTCCTCAATTCAGACAGAGCTGCTGTTGTCTTCCAGACACCTTATGGACCTGAAGAATCTGGAATTAAATTAAAGAATTAAAGATTTCTTTGGGAGAAAGAAATTTCTTCATGCCTTGAAAGCTGTGTTTTCTGCCTGGAAAATGAAATTCTTGATGCTACACCCAAAAGCTCCTTGGTGACACCAAAGTTTAGATCTTTTCTTCTCAACTATTTTGTCAGTGCTAAATATCCATATTGAAATTGGCAATAACTGGCCTCTTTGGCCAAAGATTGAATCATTGGGAGCAAACACAGAATGTGGATCTCTGGAGCAAGCGCTGAGTTATGCTGGCACGACACCCTGAGGTTTTGTTTCCATTTTTCCCCCGTTCCCAAACAGGACATCAGCCTCCAAGGCCATTTATCCACCGCCTTTCCACTTCAACCTTGTGGAAAGGATTTATTCCCCTACAAATCCCCACCTGTGTTGCCACATGCCTGTGGCCTCCACAATATTTACAGATCCCATCACAAATAATTCTCAACCAGTTGCTGACAACTCCTTCCTCACTTCACCCCATTAAAAATTACCAATTTGATGCTTTGTCCTAAAATGAGACTTGTGCAACGCAAGGCTGGTGATGATAAAAAAAAGGCAGATTTCTCCAAAATTCCTTTTCAGCTGCATTGCTCCCTGAGAAATCACTGAGATACGAGCAGGACTCAGACACCCCCTCAGAGGACTTTACAAATAGCCATCACCATGTAAAGGGAGCCTTGGTATTTTAATTAAAGGTCAGACAAAACTCCGGCGTAACCCTCGGGGATGTTTTGCAGCAGTCGTTTAAAGCAGAGTTGCTTAACAAACTCTCKCTGTATCCGTGCTCAAACCTCCGCTAAGATTTACACAAACTGCAGCCTCAACACGGGAGCCCCTGCCAAGCGCAGGCTGCGAGTTCAGCACCCGTAAATCACCGCTCCAGCTTTACTCCTGGTTGTAGCAGCGCTGCAGGGCTGTGCGGGGCTGGGTTCGCTCCTCTGTGCGGGCACACACGGGGTGGGGACAGCTTGGGGACCCTGTCCCGGGGCTGTGTGTGCGCACTCACACTCACACTCACTCTCACACTCACACTCACACTCACACTCGGCAGCCTCCTCACGCGTTCAGAGCGGCTCGTTCATAGCTCATTAACACGGGAGCGCTAAATGCTGTAGCGATGCTCGGGCAGGGATCTCCCGCTGTCAATCACGGGCGCGGCTGTGCGGCGGAGTTTGTGAAGGTCGCCTGTAAGGCTTGATTCAAAGTGTCAGCTCCGCTGTTACAAGCCGGCTTAAAAACCCGCCGGGCACTTTTCCTTGCCAGATTTATGAAGTATTCGAGRCTATTTGTACAAAGGAATATGTCTGAATTTTCAACGGGAGCCTTTGGTTGCTGACTCTTCCACCTTTGGCTTTATTTGCGGGTTTGTTTTGGATCAAACCGCGAGGAGCGGGTGACCTGGTTTGCTTGTTCACTCAGGGGTGAGCTAAAGGTGCGCGGGGAAGGTGGCACGGCCAAAAGGCTTTCCAGGGAAGCCATCTGTCCGCTCCCCCCGCCGCCCTGCCTTCACCTTTCAGCTCTCATTTGCCACCGGGTGCCACCCAGCCCAGGGCGGGTGCTGTTTGTCGCCGGCGTCGGGAGGATGTCGCACGCTCAGCTCGGTTGTGATGCTGATGATGATGATGGTGATGATGATGATGATGGATACAACGCGTGCTCCCTTYGAAAAATCCGGCAGCGTTTCTTTCCAGCGCTGATTTCCCTCCAGAGTTATGACACCCCACGCAGATTGGCAGCGCCGTGCCGCCGTGCCAGGATTTATGAGGTGACCTTGGWGACACCGGCGCTCCCAAATTGAAAACGCTCAACTTTATTCTGGATTGCTGAGCAGGCTGCCCCCCTCCCCGTATAAATCAGGAGGAGATTACACAAATAATACACAGCATTTATATAACATTTCATAGCACCGGGGGGTTCTGACACATGCCTCGAGTGCAGCGCTCCTGCCTCCTCCAGACTTTGAGTCACTCCTGGGCCCAGCCTCAACCTTCAGCAGGACTCAGCAAAGCCAGCGCTGAGCTGTGTTTAGGGCCGTCTTCCATCATCAGGGTTGGACCTTTCCAACCATGATTCYGTGATGTGGGAGCTGAGCATTCCCAGCACACCAGAGGTACCTGAAGACAGCTCAGGATTGGGCCAGTGCAGCTGCTCCATCACTCTGGAGATGCTCCAGGGTGTTGTCACTGCTCCATGAAGCACTCAGACCTGCAGAGCCGGCCCTGCCTGGCGACAGCCACCCCCTGAGCTGTCCAGGGTGCTTCCCAACCTTTCTGCTGCAGCCCTGCAGCCCTTTGGGAGCGGGGGATGAGTGGGAAAGATGCTCTGACAGACGGTGRTGAAGCAGCCGAGGGCAGGCACGTCGAGGAGGAACCTGTGAGCAGCAATAAACGCCAACCCAACCCGCACTGCCGTTAATTGTCATTCCCTTTCTATCGACGTGCAGTTTATTAAACCATAAAGCAAGGCAGCAAGCACAGAGAGCAACTCTAGAGATAATTAAACATAATAAGGGTTTCACTTAATCCCTCAAAACCCAGGGGAGGCACAGTTAAGACTGAATACCCTCTTTGCACTGCAAAGCTTTTTTTTTTTTTTTTTTTTTTTTTTTGCACAGGCATTTAAGAGCACTTCCCGGGACAGGCTATTGGGACAAGGGGGAAAGGTAGGTCCCACCCTCACTTCTGAATAATTTTCTCTTCTTTGTGCCTTTACATTGTGCTGCTTATTAAGCCTGAACTCATGACTTTGAAAGCAGTTTGTGGCGCATCATTTGCATTGCGGCAGCAAGGAGAGACCCTGATGAGGGATCCTGAGCAACGTTTGGCGACATCCCTGGGCACAGGGACAGCCAGGATAGCTCGGGAGCAGCAGGGCTGGTACCCAGGTGCGCTGTGCTCTCGGGCTCCTCATCTCCCTGCATAACACACGCATTTCTTGGGCGAGGAGGAACGGGAAGGGGATGAAAGGAGACGGTGGATGCGAAGGGCTGAGCGAGAGGCTGGCAGAGCAGGCGGGTGAGGAGAGAGGCACCCTTTAAAGAGCGAAATAATTACAGCAAATCCGGGATTCAAACCGGAGGGCAACGCGCGGAGGGGAAAATAAAAAATAAAAAAAGCCGCGAGCGGTAATTTGGGACTCTGCGGTCTCCGCTTGTTGGGACCGGACTGGTCGCGGATGGGAGAGCGCGGCGAGAGCGGGCTCGGGGCTGCYCGGAGTGCGGGTGGAGCCGCAGGTGCGGAAAGAACCGCACCTGGATTCTGGCAAAGCGAGCCGGGGGCAGGGCAGGGGACCGCGGGGTGGGGACCGGGAGGACTCGGGGCGGGCACGGGCGGGACAGGAAGGGTTAACGGGGGCAGGAAGGGTTAAGACACCGGAAAGGGTTAAGGCACCCGGAAGGGTTAACGGGGGTGGAATGGTTAATTCTGGCATGAAGGGTTAAGGCACCGGGAAGGGTTAACGCGGCCGCGCTGCCGCCGCTCCGCCGCCCGCCCCCCGCGCACGCCGGGCCGGGGGTGGGGTCTGCGCGGAGCCCGCCCGGCTCCCGCCGCTGCCGCTCAATGCTGCGGCCGCGGGGCTGCGGGAGCCGCGCTCAGCGCGCACCTCGGGGCTGCGGGGGCTGCGGGAGCCGCGCAGGAACCGCGCAGGAGCCGCGCCGGGCCGGGCATGTCCCCCCCATCCCCGCCCAGGTAAGCGCGGTTCGGCACGGCCGGCAGGGAGGCAGATTTAAAACGGGTAAAATAATAATAATAATAATCAAAAGGAATAAATAAGGAAATTAAGCAAGGCTGCGGCGCGGGGGAAAGGAGAACTCGAGCGGGCTGCGGAGGCGCCGGCGGGAGATGCGCGGCCGGAGGGGATGCGCGGCCGGAGGGGATGCGCGGCCCGAGGGGCGCGGAGCGCGGTGCCCGCCGGGGTCCCCCCGGTGCCCGCGGAGCTGCCGCGGGGTGCGGACCGTGTTCCGCGGCCGCGCTGAGCCGTGCGGAGCCTCCCCGGGCGGGGTTCCCTGCGGCTCCCCGGACACGGCGCATCCCTGAGCGGGGATGCGGGGATGCTCCCATGCTCCCGCCAGGCTGCTCCAGGCGCACGCAGAACTTTTTGCTGGCTCCAGCCGCGTTCCCGGCTGGAGTTGCAGCTCCTCCYGCTTTCCCCAGGCTGCTGCTGCTCCCGTGTCGTGAGCAACATACTGCGGCGTGTTGTTTTATTTATCCCAGACAGGAGCGGCTTGCGCTCCAAACTACAAATTAAAGGATGCCGCTTGCATAACAAGTGGCAATAGTTCGTCTCTTCCATACTAATTACCCATCACCTTTAGGCTAAGCCAGAGAGGGGCTTGTTTTTTTCGGAGGAGGGCTCGTTCGATAAAGCAGCCTGATGTCGCGGAGCCGCGGATCGCTCTTCCCTCGCTGGATTAATGTGGGCACAGGATTAAGAGCAGCATGTTGATGAGGCACCCGGAGGTGCAGGGAGGCAGGGGACGTTTGGCTGGAGGGAGAAGTCAGTTTTTKTGGCGGTGCTCGCTCCCGTTTCCATGGCTCGGTGCAGGACCTGCATCCCGGCGGATAAATCACTGAGGTGGGAGCGGGGATTGGTGGGATCCTCCTCCTCCTCCTCCTCTGCTCGCGGTGCTCCGGAGCTCCTTTCCAGCGTGCAGACCCTCTGCCCCGCGGTGGGTGGGTGGGTGGCTGTGCCCCCGTGCTGGCACGGAGCCCGGTGGGTGCAGTGACCCATCCCGGGTCCATCGGGGCTGTCCGAGCCCCTTCCCTCGTCCTGTGGCAGCTCCAGCCCAGATGTGCAGGTGATGCTCCAGCTGCGGYTCCACAGCCAGCACCGAGCGTGGCAGCAGGACAGCGGGGGCCTGCACTTCAGATGGTCCCTCAGAAGCCTTTTCTGTTGCTTTCCTGGYCAGGAAACTGAATTATTCTTCTTTTTTCTGGACCTGAGGAGCTGCATTTTAACCCTGCGTTTGTAAGTCCCTGAAAACTGCTTAAATGGCTCTTGAATAATCCTTCCAAGTCGCCTCCCCTCTTTAATCTAACACCAAAAGGACTGACTTTACAAGGCTAATCCCTCTTTTCCTGGCTCCACTGCCTCATTTAGAGGTGTGCACGCTGCTAATTTCCCCAAAGCAGCCTGCTGGAGACAATGGCTTCCACTGGCGAGCAGCAACCTCTCCCTCCTGTGCTGAACTCTGGGCGCAGCTGAAGCCATCCGACAGGATTTGGGGGGTYTCAGGACGTGTCCCTTTGCAGACAGCCACCCCAAACTCTGGGTTTGGATATTCCAAACACCCTCTTTTGGGCGGCTCTGAGGGTCTCCTGCCCCAAGCCCCCACAGCCCAGAGGTGCTCAGGGAGGGGAGGAGGGTGTGGAGTTGAGTGATCCTCTCAAAACTCGGTGGAATTGGAGATTTTGCCCTCCTTGCGCTCTGCAGTGGGGCTGAGCTCTCTCCCAGGCTGCCTGGCACTCCCAGAATGTTAAGCTGCATGTTGCACACGATGACAAACCGTGTGTTGGGAATGTGAATGGCAGCGAGGAGCAGCTCACCTGTGCTGGCAGCCTCCTGGAAAATGGGGAGGAACGGTGCAGTCCCCAAAGCCTGGCTTGCCAAGGGTTACCAGGGGTGTCTGGAGCTGCCCTGCCCCTCACCTGAGCTCAGCAGGGATGGCTGAGGAGGGCAGGTCTGCCTTGGGCACGGTCTGTGGGGTGGGAGGGGGTGAGGAGTGCCATGTCCTCTCCCCTGCGCCACAAGGACACCTCTGACCGTGGGGTGGGTGTTTCTGAGACCACAGCCATCCTTCTCCAGAGTGGCCTGGCTTGATTTTTCAGTGTTCATCCCTCCTGAGTGCTGATATTCAGCCCTTGGCTGAGGTTTATTCCAGAGGGAAGAGCAGCAGCAGCAGCAGTGGCAGCCAACAGGCAGCTGCTCAGAGCCCACCTTGGCTCCCAAACTTGCACTTCCTCACCCATGAAAGTCTTTCTTGTCGCTATCCAGCCTTTATTTGTTTGGATGAACATTGCTTTGATTTCAAACTCACTCCTTTGCTACCGCATCAGGGCTAGAAGGAAACTGGTGGTGAGCTCACCTAAAATTTCTCCCAGAGATGCAAAACTTCAGGATAATTTTGTGGATATTCTGGTGCCTCGTGATTTATTTGCCTTGGCTTAAGGAGTTGGCTTTGTCTGGCTGTTCCGTGGAGTTAACTCGATTTAAAGAATATTTAAAACTCAGAGGTAAAGACAAGGTGTTGTTTTATTTATCCCAGACAGGAGCGGCTTGCGCTCCAAACTACACACTCCAAAGTGGAGTGAAGGAAGGGTATTACCCACGAGATGGACAGATCACTGCCTTTTGATTTATTCTCATGATCTTTGTAAATTCTGTTTGGTGAGCGTGCTGGAGGGGCAGGGTGGACACAGCCCTGGCGCCGTGCAGGCAGCTCAGGGGATGCAGACGGAGCAGGAGAAGCTGCTGCTGCTGCCTAAAAACACCCTGCTGCCTTTGAAAGTTCATAAATCACCACGGGTCTATTTTTAGCCCCGTTAGAACAGAGCAAGGCCGGGGTTTGTTCCCACACCTCCCCTCCGTGGCCTGGAATGACCCCGCTGCAGCCTCTGCAGGAGCSTTTGATGGTGGCGCTGACCCTGTGCCCAACCCCATTGTCACACGGAGCATTCAGCGCTCTTTGAAGAGCYTTTGGTGCAACAGTTGGGAGTTTTCCTTCCCGTGGGGAGCTCGGTGGGTGATGCACAGCCCCTGGATGGGAAGGCAGTCACAAACACGGCCGTGAGTCACGGTGAACCCACCAGCGCCAGCTCCGAGCTCTGGGCCAGGCGTGCTGCCAAGGCTGGGGCTYGCACACATCTCCACTGTTATCTGCCACGCTGCTTACTCGAGTATAAATACGAACATCATGACAGAAGTGATTCATTTTTATTTTTTTTATTATTATTATTATTAGCGAGGCGAGCGCGTAGCGATGACACCCAGCCGGTTTKGCGTCTCACGCCGGTGCTCAGCTCTTCCCTGCTGCTCCCCTGAACTGGGGACACTGCGACAGAATGTGTCAAATCTGTGTCAAATCCGCTCCTCATCTTCACACAAATGAACTTCACGCTCGTTACGAGCCGAGAGAGCGGCGTTTTCTGCGCTGAGCAGGGAGTTCTGGGTGTGTTGTTTGTTGGGATGTAACTCCGACGGTCATTTCATCTCAATCTGCGGGGTAAAATCCATCCCAACCCAACCCCAGAGAAAGAAAGAGTTGWTGGGGTGTTTGTGATTGCTGAGTTAAGTGAATGGAAGTCAAGCCCTCAGAACCATCAGGGTCAAAGCGTTTTGGAAACCATCTGGTGACTGCCACGTGCAGAGCTSAGCTTTGGGAAGGGGCAGCAGAAGGAGCAGGTTTTGTCTCTGAAACGTAAATTAGAACTTTTGCTTGGGGCTGTAATCGCAGCATAGATGTATCAGCATGTGGTCTCCAGTGAGGTAAGAGATGCACTTATTCCACTTCAGAAGGACTCAAAAAATAGTCTGAAAACATTTAACTTTTTAAATGGCAGGGATTTTAGAAAAAAAAAAAGTGTTAAAGGTTTCAAGGGGGTTYTGCCACATTTGTTTCTTATATTAATTCTGTGTTAAGCTCCCAGTTGTTCAGCTGTTGATGCTGCATTCCTTGAAGACACACTGAGGATGTCTCAGACCTGGCCAGATGTCTTTATTCGTGTTATGATCTACCCAGTACCAAATTCTCCTAAGATATRTTGCACTACAGATAAAACAAAAGCACCAGGATGGCTCTTCCCCACCTTTCCTCCTCTTTGGCRTTTGGATTCAGTGAGACCCAGCCCTTTTTAACTCCCTCACGGAGTCTTTCCCAAATTTTTTAAGAGCAAGATGAGCTCGGAAAAGCCAAAACTGTCAGGCCCTGCTCTCTCCAGGTTTCCTTGGACCAGTCAGCCCCGAGCTGCTCCCGGCTCCAGCCTGATTGACTCCTCCACAAGTTCTATCAGTGTCGGATCTCTGTTGGCCTCGGGCGAAATCTGTGCTTATCATTTATTTATATAAATGTTTAGCCGACGAGGAGATGMGGTGTTTAAGCCCAATTTGCATAAAGCTTAGCAGGTCATTGCGTTTGATTAGAGCCTAGGAAGGGGAACAAAGGACATCCCGGGTGATTGGGGTGGAAAAACTTCTCTGCTGGAGGGTGATTTAATGTGACTGTGYTGCACACAATAACCTACCTGTGGGTTTTAACCCATCTGAAAACGCCTTGTTTATTCAGCTCCTTTTATTCAGGTCACAGGGCGTTATTTGGGAGGACATAGAGGCAACAAAATGCATTTGCATCTGTGTGCTCTCGGTGATGGGAGAGTGAGGACCCAAAAAGCCATCAGGGAGAGCCCYRGGGMTGCTCAGGRCACASCTTTCCCTGCTCCTGGCTCCTGATAATGATTCCCATCGCTCGTTTTCACACCTTTCCAGCTCCGTGTGGAAAATCTGGAGCAGGGAGATCTTTGTGGCCGTGGTTTGGTGATCACAGTGTGGAGCACAGGGGGATCTGCACCCACACAAACAGCGCTGAGGAACCTCCATCCAGTGAGATGGGTTTTTATTCAATGCTTTCGTGCTCAGTGGAGTCAAAACTCTGCCTCCTCTTGCCATGAATGAATGGATGAATCTTTTGGGGCTT